TCTGTGTAGCTAAGTGTTTATCAGTCAGTTTACTTAACTTATATATATAAGTACTTGCAACTAATTTTAATAACTGTTTCTTTTGGATTTTTCCTGAATTGTATGAACTATCATTTAATACTGCTGTTTTGTTTATTAATTATAAATTTTCATTTATAGTGTTATATTATAAACATCAGTGTTTTTCTATGTTAGGAAAGATTATGGTACCATGTCTAATGCCACTCTGCTTGACATGGTTAAAGTGATGGCATTTGCTTTAACAGAGGGAAAGGTAGGATTCTGTTTAATATTCATTCTATGTATAAACTTAAATATAACATTTGTTGTTCCTTTTTAAATTATAACATAGTGTTGAGCACTAAATTAACACAACCTAATAACCTTAGGCTTTCAGTATTGACAATGACTCATACAATTGAACTGAATCAATAATCAACATCCAAGATATAAATAAATCCTCTTCAAGACACCTGTTTAGTTTACCAATATAACTGAATGATTAGCAGAGTATTGGGATATAGTGTAGCAAACTGAATGAAGTCACCATTTAAAGGAGATTGGAGATGTAAACGTTTAGGTATAAAAAAGAAAAAGTATATATTTGATTAGTTTTGAATTTCTTTGTTGTAGTTTATATCAATTATAATAGGACTTGTCCTTTAACTTTTGTTCATAAATATGTTAATTCCAAAATCTGAAAAATTGTCTACCATTATACTAATTTTTTAAAAATTTAAATGTGTTGATGTTTACCAGATTTATTTAAAAAATTCTAATTATCTCTGACAGCAGTTATTATGAGATTATGCAACAAATGAGTATTTACAGCTTTATTAGTCTGTTTGGTAGACACCTGTCATATAACACTGTGACAGCTGTTTTTTAGAAATACTTTGAGATTATGCAGCAAATAAGTATTTACAGCTTTATTAGTCTGTTTCGTAGACACCTGTCATATAACACTGTGACAGCTGTTTTTTAGAAATACTTTGAGATTATGCAGCAAATGAGTATTTACAGCTTTATTAGTCTGTTTCGTAGACACCTGTCATATAACACTGTGACAGCTGTTTTTTAGAAATACTGTG